GGGCAGAGGAAGCCGGCCAGCGAAAAGCAAGCGCAGGAGCCGTCATCCTTCTCACCCCTCTCCAACCTGCCAGTGAGGAGATTCAATCAAACAAAGCTAAGATAAAAGAAACCACGGAGCAAAGAACAAAGCAACAGACTACGACGAGCCGACTCACCAACAAGAGGCTTGCACCCAAACTTCTCATGGAAAGGTGCCCATTCGCAAATCCCCATCGTATGGGGGAGAATCGTGCTCAGCCACTCACGAATAACGGCAACTAGCGGAGGAGGTACTCTCTTGGCTACAAAAACAAAAACAAACCCTCAACAAGTTCATTAGAGGGAGACGACCGGCGACCATATTAAGAAACAAATGCGTAAAGTAAAAAGAAAGGGAAATCTACGGGCGAAATTCCACGTCTCAGGAAACCCCGCCGGGTTCGACACGACGTGCTCTATTCGAACATAGAAGAAGCTCTCCTAAAAGCGGCAATTTGCCTTGTTGTCCATCTTCACCACCAAACTCTTGGCTCCTCGGTGGCACATATGAATCATCGTACCCCTAATAAAATGGGGGCGAAGAGGTGAAGCATATGTCGTAGAGAAATCCCTCGGCCGGTCAACTCTGGATACTTGATGAGCATAAGGAAAAGTTTGTACGCGTACGAAGAGAGTTGAGCCGGACATACCTCATAGAAGCGGCAGAAATCCACCACTAGGGAAGGTAGGGGGAGCATGTACCCAATGACAAAGGGATACACATAAAATGCACAGTAGCCCGCATGGTGTATATGCACTATGTCCTGATCCGCCAGAACCAGTTCAATATGATCAGGGATCCCCCATTTGGCTTTGAATGCTGTGAGCGCCACAACATCTATCGTAGAATAAATAGGTTCCGGCTCATCTCCGGCAGGTCTATTAAAGTCGATCCTCGCCTTCCCCGGGCGGGAAACCACCTCATCTACCGTCGGAAAACCCTCGTCTTCCGCCATTTCCACTCTCTCTCCGAGTAGGGGTATATCATCTTCCGGCACCAGAGCACCAACAGCTCTGTCAGAGTGGGAAGAAGCACTAGCCATTTTTCTTTGATCAAAAGAAACGAGAATGATTAGGGAAAAAGGTAGTGGTCACATCGAATCCTAACAGAAACAGAAATATGAGAAACTGAAGGAGGAGAAGAAGAGTTGCAAAGTTCTCTCTTGAGCGATTAAGATGCGTAACATTCAAATGAGAGATTCTCCCCTATTTATAAGGGTATAAATGCCCTGAGCGAGAAAACAAAGCGCTGCCAGTTAGAAAATGGAAAGGGCACGGGAAACGACGCAATGCATAGAAAACGTGCGCCATAATGACGCATGAGAAATATTAACATTCTAAACTGACGTGACGGTCTAACGCAGTTCTCGAAATGTCACGTCGCTACCTCGGCATGAGGTGCTCGTCTCTCGCATAAAGCGTTCAGATCTCTCCTTCTCGAATCAACAGAGTCCGCCCATCGAGCTCGCCAAGAGGCGGCCTCAATAGGCGGAGGAACTAACTCTATGGGTCGAAATCTAACTACACGTGGATCAGCATTAAAAATGATAGCGAGGGGTCGACTAAGCCGTGGTCGTATTCATAAGACATCATAACAACGAGTATCTCGGTCGCTGTCGGGATCGAACAATCAGAATGTTTGTATGGCGAAGCATATGTCGTAACATTTAAGGGGAACAACCTAAAAGTACAATCAGTAGATTAGGGTATTCTAGTTAAGGTCCATTGGACAAAAGAGAATACTTACTATATATATAGGAGGTAAGAGAACAAGGAAATGGGCTTGTCTCCTTCATGAGAAAGAGGCAGAAGAACCGGAGAAGGATACGGAAGAAAAACAGGAGAAGTTTCGGATTTAGGCGGCAAATCTCTGTGATCATCTTTCTCGAATCAATAAAGATAGATCCCGCAGCTGTTAATGACATTCCTTCTTTTCCTTCTTTATTCTTACATTACGGAACATTACATCAAGAATGTAAGCACATCATTTATGTTCGATATCTTTTATAAATCTTAAAAGTTCATGAGCTTGGCTATATCTTATTCTCTTATTCAATACGCTTTGATCTAGAGTTGATTATTCTTGGCTAGGATTTATCCTCTATTTTTTTATTAATTAGTTTAACAAAAATCTTAATACTTTTTGGTCAAACAAGTAACATTAGTTATAAATGTACGACTTCTAATCCAATTTAAATGTCTTTTTCGCCTTTCTCATTTGGTCTATCTGGAATTGAAAACTCTGGAGCACATTCTTACTGTTTGTTAAATTTGGTCAATCTATTACATGAAACAGCTATTTTAATAGAAAATGGCTTTATATTCCTAAAATGTTAAATGCTTTGGGGATCAAATTTAGTTTGACAAACGACTGACCCAATAAACTACGTTAAATAATCCACAACAAATAGAAAAAAAGAAAGAAAGAAAAAAAAAAGAGTTCAGTGACAATAAATATGATCTTATCCATGCATCAATTCCTTTTTTTACCTTAGATAATTGGTGGGAAATGAGGCAATTATCACTGATTTTCTGTGGATGACGTACTATCCTAGAAAATATATTGGCAGTACTCAGACTTTAAGTAATGTATGGTTTCGTGCAACCACTCCTTATTACAATTCGGTTCAATACGTCCAACAGACAGCTGGAAGTTGCAAGCCTTAAGTCACGAGCAGCTTGTGAGAAAGGACTAAACTTCTTTTTAGGTTTCTCGCTCGATCTTCAGCGTTTTGTATCGGGATCCCATATTTCAGATTAGATTATTTTTTTTCAGAATTCGAATTTGAAATATTTAGTTGAGGATGAAAATCATATTCATCCCACCACAACTCTTATTAGTGGTGAGAAAAGACTAACTGAAAAAGTGTGTACATATGTAATATTCTAATAAGGATCAGTAAATTAAAAGATATTTTTAGGACGAACCCACGAGCAGGGCGTAGCAAAAACATACCAGAGCGATCTAGGTAACAAATGTAGGGGTGTCAATGGATATTTAAAAATCAATTAAATCAATCGAACCGTACCGTACCGAATCAATATTTTAGGTTTCTTTTAATAAAACCGTAGATTTTATATAAATCTATAACTGTACCGATAATTAATGTATGTTTTTTATTTTATGAAAATAGACCAAAAAAATACCGAACCGTACCGAATAAATTTATATGTAAAAAATATATTTATATATTAAGTTTAAAAATAATAAAATATTAAATTTTCCTTTCGTCTTAGAATTATGAAAACAATTACAAGCCAAAACGTAATAAAATCAAAATAGTAATTCCCCAACCTATTATGCTATCCCATTGAAACTAAATTATTTCCAGCATATTCACTAGCAAGACATAAGGTATTTGTAGCGATTATGAGTAGCAAACTACGATGTATTGACTATGTTTTCTTTCATATGATTTAGATTTATCTTTTGGAATATTTAATCTTCTATAGACTTTATTCTTGAGTCTCAGTCCTAGCTTGGTTAATATCTTTCCACTCGAGTGATTTATATTTTCTTTATATTAATTTGTTTAATTTCTTTTACGTATGTAGAGTAGTTGATGGATCTATATTCTAGCCATCTTTCATATTTTCTTAATTCTTCACCCTTTAAAATGTAAAAATATCTATAGAGTTTTGCTAAGTCCTATAAAAGTACGCATGTTATTCCATTCTACTTCTACTAGTGACTTTTACATGACATATAAAAAAATATCGAAAATTAACCGAACCGTACCGATACCGAAGAGAAACCGATATGATTGGGATGGTTTCGAAAAATCTAATTTTGGTTATATATAATAGAATAACCGAAAAAATGGTATGACACAAAATTAACAAAATAACCATCCGAACCGAACCATTGACACCCCTAAACAAAAGTATCACGAAACATAAGCTCCATTGTTTTGGACGTCGTTTGATTGGAATATAATTTATATCGGTATAAGTTATGCTGGTATAAGTTATATTGGGATAAGTTATGTTGTGATTAATTATACTGGGATTATTGTTTATTCATTATTTGGTATGTTGTATTAAGAATGACAATTGCATAATTTCTAAGAAGAAGGTATAAGTTATACCGATGCTAATTACTCCACCTTCTATAAGGTATAAGTTATCCTAGTGTTAAAATTAACACCGGGATAACTTATACCTCATTTGCTAACCAAACAAAGTATTAAAGTGGTATTAAACTTTTATACCACCCTTATACCTTCTTATACCTCATACCAAACGAGTAGGCGTCAAGCGATTTTTTGTTTTCGAGGTGTAAGCACAATAATTATCTTCAAATTAAAATTCAAAGCGATTCTTGCCGTGTTCTTAAAATTATGATCTTATATATGTCATAACAATCATGTAACTATACAAGCTCTTCATTAAGCGTAATATGAGAATTTAAAAATAATTTCTTTATGGAACAGACCAAAAACACAATTTATTTCACATAAACTGGAATATAAAGAGCACTATTATTATTAGTTATCACTTAATACTCATTATATATTACTCATAATTACCTTGTTTAATATCTTTTGTAAATATTTTCTTACATTTGATAATTTGATGGGACTTTCTCAGAGTTTCTGGTTAATATTTATTAAGTTTTCATAAAATTCAACAGCAAAATTGACCAAAAAAAACAGAAAATCAACAGCAAAATTGCATATCACTTTTCATGATTTAAACCAAGGGACACTTTTGTTTCATTTTCTCCTAATATCCACAAACCTCTTTTTTAAAACCAGTGCAGTAAATAAGCACCGGTAAATAGTTATTCGCATCGCGTGTTTACACTTAATTAAATAATTAATTTTAAGTATTAATAAATTACACTAAAATTACATATCACTTAACTGTGATTTAACTGTTAAAAAGTGTATATACAGGACAAATATCTTTATTGACTTAGTGTAAATATATAATAGGGATAAATTTTTCCCTATAAAAGTCCCCTACTAGCTAGTACTCAACTTCTCAAATAAATTGCATCCCACAATTTCACTTCTATTATATTCCTCTCTCTCAGACTATCAAATAAGATGGGGCGTTTGTTTGCAACTTTCTTCCTTGTAGCTATGCTGCTTTTGGCCACTGGTTCGTTTTCTATCTCCATTAAATTTTGCAATATAATAGTCCTCTCATTATTTGTATATATATGATGAAGTTTGATTGAGTATAGAGTTTAGAAAATAAAGAAAATAACTGATTTTTAACATATAGTGAAATTACACTTAGAAGTTGTTATAGTTGTGAATTGCTATGTCAATTTTATGACTATAAATATTTTACTAAGATTAAAAGCAAGGGCGAAGTAATGCGTGCCCAAAGTGGTCAACTGAATACCCTTTATTAGAATTTTTATTAGTCTTTGAACATCCTTACATAGCCGATTAGCAAATAGTGTTCAATATATGAACATCTTTATTGAATCTTCAGGCTTCACTATTGTTCAAAAAGTCCAAATTATTTACATGGTTATATTTTTATATTTTAAATTTCCTTAACGAAAATCCTGCAGTAATATTGTACTATATTGTAATTCTTGATTTTTGATGTTTTCATATTTCACAGAGATGGGACCAATGAGTAGTGCTGAAGCAAGGACTTGTGAATCACAGAGCCACCGTTTTCATGGAACCTGCGTCAGGGGTAGTAACTGTGCCTCCGTTTGCCAGACGGAGGGTTTCATCGGCGGCAACTGCCGTGGTCTCCGCCGCCGTTGCTTCTGCACTCGCAATTGTTAAAGATCCAAAGAGAAAGTCCAAATGATTGATCTTTTCACTGTCTCAGTAATCGTTTCTTTGTTAAAGTTTCCATAATAAATAAGTTGTATTAATGCTTATCAATAAAGAGTAACTCGTGTTTTACAGCTTGTTTGTTTGGATGATTGTTACGTTTTATAATTATTGAATTGTACTATATTATTTTGTTTGATTTAATATATTGTTTGGATAATTTAATATGAAAAATAAATTTGCATTATTATTAAGAAAAAATAGGAATTGAGTAAATTTTCATATATAATAAAATATGATAAATGATAAAATATAATTATTTAATAATAAGGAATGACAAAATAAGGAAAAAAAGTAAGGTAATGATACCATCTCAAAAATCTATCTGTCGTTCCATAAAATGATATTTTTTTATTACATAACGATAAATTTTACGATACGATTTAATAAAATTTAAATAATAATAAAAATATTATATTTAAAATAATAATATAATAATAAATAGCAACCATCCAATCAAGTTGTTAGTCCATAGTTATATGTGAGTTGCAATTCTATGTATTTTCATATCTTGTTCTTTTATCAACTTAGTTATAACATATTGAGCAATGAATAATATTTGCCAGTAATATATTCATTTTATTAAAAGTTTAGTTCGAAAAATTAAAAGTTTTTCAGCTTGAAAAATAATTTTACTTAATTTTCAAGGGATCTACAAAGATTTATAATTAACTAGGAATTAAACTATATGTTACGCAAGTATACATTTTATTCGTTTTCTTATACATACGTCTCCGAGGTGAAAGAACAAGATGAAAACATGTATTTCCTCTGCTTTAAATATAAAATTATAAATCACAATTAGTTTAAAATATTTACAAGAAAAACTTCGTCAAAGAAAAGTCAAAATAATAAGATGTGCTTGAATTCTACCTCTTGCCAAATGTCGAATGTGTCTTAGCAATTTAACACCTGTAAATGCATGACAAACACGTGTCAAAGATAGAACCTATACTGTAGTAAGTACAGATAACTAGGTTAATTACACTAACGCCCATATAATATGACCCAGTTTTAGATACACCCTCCGTATTCTGAAATTAATCATTTATTATACCCCTATTCTATAGAATTCTACACATACACCCCTTTATTTATATTAACCATGGTTAGATAATATGTATTTACAAATATTGTCAGGTGGTATGCATTTACACTTTAATTGTTGATTCTCGTGATTAAGCTGTCTTCTTTGATGTAAATATCAGTTGCTAGTACGTTTTTATCGTAATTATTTACCAAATATAAATATTGTAAGATAAGTTAAAATTATATTTTTTTTCACATTTTTATTTCAGTTTGTTTATTTATTCTTCCATTTCAAATTTATCTTAAATTGTTTATTTTAATTAAATCATTATATAAGAGATTTAGATATTTTAACAAAAAAAAACGAATATTTTATTTGGTTTGGAAAGGTAAAAATATTTTGCCAAATACATATAAATTTTAGTCATCTCATTAAGTAATTTCTGTTATTTTTCTCTTTAATATTTCAGAAGATACATATTTCAAAAATATTTATTCTCTTTTTCAATAAATATTTTAACAAAAATATTTAAACTCTTTTAAAATTTTATAAAATTTAAATACATAAAATATTTTATCTATACTTTATAATTTATCTTGTAATAATTTTATTTTAAAGGATATATCTCATAGGAAATGTAACCATAGGATTTCTTTAGTATAGGAGGTGTAAGTGTTTGATTTTAAAATATCAGTGGTGTATTTAAAGAGTCATATTACAAAGGTGTTTAGTGTTAAAACAGAATAGTAGTAGGAGAAATAAATTAACAACATTACTAGATTCGTTAGTCATTAGTGCCTCCGTTTTAATTTATATGACACAATTTGACTTGATGCATGATTTGAGGAAAAAATAATTTTTGAAAATTGTGGTCTTTAAGACGTAAAAGTTCATAATATTTGTGTGGTTATAAAAACTTTTTATTAAGAATAAAATAGGTAAAGTTAAAAGTGTTCAATTGACGTTTTGTTTTCATCTTAAAAAGTGTGGGATTTTAGTCTTTGCTATAAATGAAATGAGTACTAAAATAAATTGAAAAAGAAATAATTTTTTTATTGAATTTTGATTTTGTCTGACAATTTTATGGAATTCCTTTATTTTGAATCAACAAACGGCTATATTTTCAATGTTCTTTTGACCACTATGCTGCTATGTGCCTGCGTTAAAATAATATTCCATGTTATATGTTCAAGTTGTTTTCCGCAGCACTCCCTCCTGATAGTAGAGGTAGTGGTGGGGTACGGGGGAGAGAGTGAAGCAGGAAGAAAGGGCGATTGGTTATGGGGTGGGAGGGGTGTAACGATCCGAGCTGTCGTATGATGTATTATGATTTATGTGAATCGTCGGTTTTGGTTTTTCAGGTTATTCGGAATTGATTTGAAAGAATGATTTTTAGCTAGAAGTTTTAAATTTGAAAGGCTAGACCAAATTTTGACTTTTTAGTATTTGACCTCGGATTGGATTTCTGATGGTTCTGTTAGCTCCGTTGGGTGATTTTAGACTTA